TGTTTTTTGTTTTATTTACTAATACATCTTTTTAAGTTTTATAGATTTTTTAAAACATTTAAATATCTTCAAATTTTTTTACTATTTTATAAATTTTTATATAAATATATATATATTTTTTTTATCTTTACTTATTTTTTATTTGTATTTGATATATAAATCAATTAAATAAAGTTGATATGAATTAAAAATAATTAAATTTGCTTAGTTAATAATTAAATAAAAAAATAATATTAAATAAATTAATATATGTAAATAGCAATATTTTAAATAAAATAAAATAAATTTATCAATAAAAATTATTTCATAATTTTCGAAATATTTCAAAATTATTTATAATTTTTAAAATATTTTAAATTATTTTGAAACATTTTAAATATTTCAAAAATCTTTTGAATATTTCAAAATATTTCAAAATATTTTTGATATTTTCAAAATATTTCAAATTATTTTTTATAATATAATTTTATTTTTAGTTTTTATTAATTTTTAAATTTTTTTATAAAATAGCTAAAATTCTTTTGAAATTATTTTATTTCTTTTACAATATTTCACATATTTATTTTGCTGATGCTATTCTAATACATCTAAGTCTTTGCTAAAATAACTATTTCAATATATCTGATCTTTTTTTTTTAAATATTAAGATGAGTACTTGTGATTCAGAATTTTATTGATAGTATATTTGGCTAATGGTTGCATTACAACTACAAAAAGCAACTATAAAAAGAGTATACAACTAGCCACTTGTATAACTTTAGTTATTGTTTAATTTAAGTAGTCCATCTGAAGGTTCTATACTAGCTGCCATACCTGGAATCTGCTTGTAAGTTCCCTATTTAACCACTCTAGTTTTTATATCCACCCACCTACCTTTGCTTATCAATGATCACAGCTGATGACAGTAAAAATATATCATAACTACTAAGTCTTTAAAGCAGTTCATTTATATAGAGAACCTTTGACTTTGTACTAAACCTTCCAGAATTTCTATATCCTATTCTTATAACTAACCTGGTATCACTATGGTCAAAACCAACATTGATGATTAAAATGTATTATTAAATTGCTATGTCCTTATAGAGTTCATCTCAATCCAGTACTGACTTCACAACATATTCCTACTACTTTGGTATTCAATTTAAGTTTTATCAAGCTTCCAAATCAGATAACTTGAAAAGACAGATTGTAACTATACATTTCTGGTTACATGTTTGCCAGCATATAATTTTTTTTTTCAGAATGGATCTGACAGCCTGGTTGGTTCCATTTAGCCTCTTCTCAAAGGCCAGCTCTTTACCTATTTTCATAAGTTCTAGCTTTATTTTATAGGTCTAGTCTTTATAGTAGCATTGTCAAAAATTCAGGTTATTTTTCTATTTAGATCTTCCAAGTAAGTTTTTATCTTTCTTCTTTTGGTTCTTATAATTTACATGGCCACAAGGACTTATTATAGTTTTGTACTGCCTGATACTAGTTTGTATTTCTTTGTGTAACTACAGACCTTGTCCCAAAAGATAATGGCATATAACTGTTATACAAATGCCATATAACCTACCAGTTATACTGGTGTAATATAAGTAACAGGTATCTTATCCCAACTAATTGTAAGAGACAATTAACTATAATACAGGAAAGATTTTCAAATTTTCTGTTAACATTGTAATTTGAACTTTAGACCTGTCACTTGGGAGTTGATAACTTGATCACTTCACTAGATCACCACACTTTATATCTGGATCTTTGTCAAAACAATTATTCTAAATTGTCTATATCTTTTCTTAAGATTACTAAATTTAATTTTATGTTTCTATTAATGTATACATGGTTGAACCTTTCAAGCATTAATGTTCAAAAGTACTTAATAGAATTTTTCTATTTTGAATAATAAAATTAAATCATTGAGATTATTTTTATAAAGATAGAAATATACTATTAGTTACTTTTGTTCAAAAATAACAAACTGTCTTGAAAATGTCTTTTGTTAAAAGAGAAAGATCTAGAAATTATCTATATCTAGGTCTTATTCTAAATTAAACCAAATAATAAAATTTAAATAAAATTCATCTTTATAAAATAATCTTATAATCAAATATTCTAATAGTTATGAAAAATGTTCTATCAATATGTTATTATTTTTTCTATATAATAGTCAAATAATTATTATTTTTAGTATCTCTAACTAGTATAAAACCAAAAAGAAATGAGATATTTAAAAATTATGTAATATTATAAAGTTTAAAAAAATTTCTAAAGTTTTTATCTATATGCTACAATAAAAAAAAATTATTCTAAGAATATATTTTTACAAAAGTATTCTAAATATAATATTAGTAATAAATAATAATGTCTTGGAACCTTAATTAAAGTTATAGAGCAGACTTTTATAATTTTAATGATAATTGAAATATTAAAATTAGTTTAGTGAATAACATTCTATAGTAATTTAAAGAAATTCTGAATTTCTTATTTTTCTTTTTTCTTAGTTTAAAGAAGAATTTTATAGATATAAAAAAATAGTGTCATTATTTTAAAAACAATTTATTAGGCAGAAAAGCATTTTCATATTTTATATAGTATAATAAACTTTGTAGAATAGTCTTCTATGAGTTTGCTGATATGTGTTATATCTTTGTAGAATTAAAACTCATCGAGATATTAAAGAAAAATGAAATGTATTCAAAATCATTATTATAAAATTTCTCTTCTCTCTTTCTTTTCTTTTTTTCTAGATATTTGTACTAAGTTAATAGGTCTTAATACTTAGATGAAAAATATAAAGAGACATTTTACAAATCTAAAGAAGATGAGTTTATCTAAAACAGATAAATGGATAATAAGATATTAAAGATCAAAGTTGTGTATTAATATTTTGAAAAAAAAATTTTAAAGAAATTGTTTGTAATAAGAAAGGAGTTAAAACTTTAATGATTTATAAAAGATCAAGGAAGCATTTTGTTACTAAATAACCTATATATAAAAATGTAGAGAAAATGTTCAAGAATCTAAAGAAGATGAGATTTTGAAGATAGGATAAAAATTCATAGAGATATTAAAGAAAAACAATAATCAACTAATTTTTCATTTTTTTATCAGAAAAAATTTGTTATATTTATTTAAAAAAATTTTATATTTCTACCAGAATTACTAAATATTATAAAATGAAAACCTTCTTAATTCTATATTACAATAATGATATAACATAGAGAATCCTTTACAGATATATGTGATGTTCAAGAAGAAAGTATAGTTTCTGTTAGACATTGTCAAGAAACTATACTTATTTTTGAAACAGTTTGATAATTATTATATAGTAGTTTATAGTTACAATTATTTATTAAGATAATAATAAGAAAAGTTATCCTTAAACATCTGTCTTAAAAGATTCAAGATATAATTTATAAGATAAAAGAGAAAAAAAATTGTCTATTTCTCTAAAACTGTTAACTGTAAAACTTGTTTTGACTTAAATAACTAAAGAACTAAAAAATTAAACAACTAAATGACTAAAGAACTAAGTGACTAAATGACTAAGAGACTAAACAACTAAGCAATTGGTATTACAAGCTTAAAGCATTAAAATATTTAAAACATTAAAGTAACTATAACTAATAAATAATACAATAATAAAAATCTATCCTATAACAATAATATATATACTTGGTTGATACTATTACTTAATGCTACTCTTAATTTTGTTTACACCACTGATCTATCTATTTTACCCAACATCAACCACCAAAATCACATAATAGATCAAAATAACCGAATCAAAATAGAATTTTCAATTAAATATTCAATAAAGATAAAGGCATGGCCTCATCATTAATATTAAAAAAAAAAACTGGCAATGATCATCATATCTTAAAAACGAAACTAAAAAACTAGCTAACTACCATTAATAAAAATCAAGCAAATTGACATTTAAAAAGAAATCAATTCGAAATATGAGCAGTAAAAATTAAACCATTGAATTTTTTAAAAATGTCAATCTGCTTGAGTTCTATTGACAACCCAAATGTTGCGGATCATAATAAAATCGGATAAAATGAAATTTGGGTTTCGTTTACTATAAATCCTACCCTTAAAGTTGACATCTAACCCTAAAAAAGAGTAGAGAATGTGCACCAAAATTTGTATTTTTCGGTGGCTTGTCGATTTATACTCAACAAAATTTTATTATAGTCTGCCACAATAAATGAGTGACGAAAAAGGAAAACCTGTAAATCATTTACAGGTTTTCTCTTTTCGTCACTCAAATATTATACCACATTAATTATGCGATCACACCTAAAACACACATCACACCAAATATAATTTATTTAGAGGTTTAATGGTTAGTTATTTCGAAATGTTGCAATTGTTACACGAAATAATACGACATACGCATGATCTTTTTTTTTTACTTTTAATAATATCTAGTGCTAGTCAAGTTTTGAGATATAATTTTAAATCATATGATTACAAGAGGTGCACAGCATCAATTTACCCAACTTTTAAAGCTTAGCTCTATTATAAACACTTGTAATCTCATCATATAATAGTGTGGTCAAAAATTCGGAATATTCCTTGCCGGTAATTTGGCTTGCTAAGTAACGTTTTGCCAATCCATATTTACTTGCAGCAAATTTTTGATGGCCTAAGTGCCTTTCCAATTTTGCAAGTTCTTCGTCAAGAAGTTTAAGCAAATATTCTGCAGTGACAGTTTTGCCATCAGCGGTGCGAGATCCATGTTTAGCCCATTGCCACAATTGCGATCGTGAAATTTCAGCGGTAGCAGCATCTTCCATAAGATTATTGATTGGTACGCAACCTAGACCATTAAGCCACGACTCGATATAAGTAAGACCAACTGATATATTATTGCGAATACCATTTTCAGTGATGGCACCACGAACATTCGCGTTAAGCAAATCCAAAGCAGTGACATTAACATCATCACGTCGTACAAAAATTTGATTTGGAGTTTTTAAATTTTCATTGAAAACTTCTAAAGCAATCTTTACTAAATCAGGATGAGCAACCCAAGTACCATCGTGACCGGCTTTAACTTCACGTAATTTATCAGCTCGAACTTTCTCAAGGGCAACAGCATTTGCTCTAGGGTCATTTTTAATTGGAATCTGAGCAGCCATACCACCCATTGCGTGAACACCGCGACGATGACAAGTTTTGATAAGCAATCGAACATAAGCATCCATAAATGGAGTTGTCATGGTAACATCACTACGATCTGGAATGGTAAAATTGGGGTTGTTACGGAATTTTTTGATAAAGGAAAAAATATAATCCCATCGACCACAATTGAGACCAGATGAGTGTTCACGAAGTTCATAAATGATTTCATCCATTTCAAATGCAGCAAGAATTGTTTCGATTAAAACAGTGGCACGAATAGTACCACGGGGAATACCAAGAATATCTTGTGATACATTAAAAATATCATTCCATAACCTTTGAAGTAAATAAAATAATTACTAAATGAACAGTGTAATAATATGATATAAATGATTATATGTTACCTTGCTTCCAAATGAGATTCCATTTTTGGCAAATAGAAATAAGGACCGAGACCGTTTTCAATTAACTTCTTTGCATTATGATAAAAGTATAAAGCAAAATCAAAAATTGAAGCGGATACGGGTGCACCATCGATTACAACATGTTTTTCTTCTAGATGCCAACCACGGGGACTAATTTATATGATAATAATATAAATTTAGAACAATTCAAATAATGGTTTATCAATCTTTATTAAGTTGAATTTACCGTACGATCAAGATAGCAACTTTACCATCTTTACGTAAAGAGTATTTCTTGTTGTTTGTAGGATTGGTAAAAGTTATGGTTCCACGAATTGCATCACGTAAATTTACTTGACCATCAATATTATTCTCCCATGTTGGTGCATTAGAATCTGTGATTAATAATATAAAATGATCAACATTTGATATAAGTCTGTAAATCATTAGATTTCGTCGATCGCATGGAACTAGTAATTACCTTCAAAATCTGCCATATAAGTAGAAGAACCACAATTTAAGGCATTGATAACCATCTTTCTATCAACTGGACCAGTGATTTCAACACGCCTATCAACCAATCCAGGTGCAGGATAAGCACCACGCCAAGTATCATCTTCTCTTATGTGAGCAGTTTCTGGTAGAAAGTCAGGAAGAACTCCACGGTCTAATTCTTGTTGCCGAAGAGCTCGACGTTGAAGTAAGGACTTTCTAACAGGATTAAATGCTCTGTGAAGTTTTGCAAGAAATTCAAGAGCCCCAGGAGTAAGTATTTGGGCATGTATATCATTTACTGGGGCGAGAACCGCAACACCCGGAACAGAATTATAAGACATGATTTACGTTAGTTTATGAGTATGAGTAGATATAATGACAAGAGATTAAAGAACGAATTAGATGAGAATATTTGCTTAAATAACCGGAAGTTTACGGAACAGGGGTAGATTATCAAAACGTTAAGGTTTTAGCCTTTTAGCCATAAAAAAAGTTTTTTAAAGACACAATTTGATAAAATTTAAATTTAAATTTAGTAATTTGTACATTATAAATATTTCACTGTTTCTATATTAGTCAGCTAAGTGTCAAAAGAGATGAACTTAACCATCTTTTCCAAGGAAGTAATTTGACTTTTCATAACCGCCGCAACGTAACACAAATGTGATCACATTCGTCTTACAATTAGCGTTAACCCGTTGTTATTGCACGGTTAACCCGTTTCTCACTAAGTTATATAGTCATGTGTAAAAAACTGTGATTATAACACGATTGTGAAAAATACGAGTGTGATTCAAGTATTAAAATAATAAGTAAAACATATTTTATACATTTATTATTAGTAATTATATATATGCATACGAATGATCCAATGTTTAAATTTAGTGATAAAAATGACATTCATAAATAGTTTTCGATTCTAGTCAAATAAAACTACAGAATGTTTTTATATATTAATCTACAAACATATAAATACAATTGGGAACCTACCAAAAAAAAAAAAAATTAAAAATAATGATATTAGTGATTTCTTAAAACAATAAAATTCAAAAAAAAATTTTTACCTCAAAAACAATCAAAAACCATCTTCAAGAAAGATTTTTTCTCGATCTCAAATTGTATCTTTTAGATGAGGTTCTGGATTCCGTAGTTTCGGACTTATTTAAGGCTTGGAGATCATCATCGGAAATACCTCTAGACGACTCTTTCAGAATTTTTGGTACTTCATTATAAGGCAAATAAGTTCCCAGCATACGATCCCAGAAGGTAAAAAATGGTTGTGAAAAGTTTTTCTTTAATCCAAATGTCTGATGATGAACATCGTGACTTTATTACGGTAAAAAAGAAAAAAAACAAAGGAATAAAATTAAGCAAAAAAAAAAACAAAATTAGTAAAATTAAAAAAATAAAATAAAATAAAATAAAAAATAAAATAATCAATTAAATAAAGCTTACTAGATAGCATTATTCCCAAATATTCTTTGTATAGGATTGAATGGTATATCATAACCAGAATGGTCATCAACTGTATGATACATGAAATAATTATCATCAAAACTCTCTTAAAAACACATAATGAATGCACTAAAATCTTAAAAAATACATACCAGTCTTGAAAGTTGAAAATGTGAAGAAAACAATTGCGCCTTTAACTGACAATCCTGATAATGTAAACGCAAGAGCAGCGCCGAGAGAATCAAACAAGAAACCTTCTATTGGATGATTGTAAAGGGCTCCGAAAGCATAAGGTACATATAGTCGATGATGCCGAGAGTGAATGTGACGATAGAGAAATGTACTTTGATGGAATAATCTATGCATAAAATATTGCCATGTATCTAACAAAAACCTAAATATAAAGATATCTTTAGTTATTAATAACATGTTCATACATATATAAATCAAAAACTATAAATTTTCGTTAATATTTTATGAAATGCATACTTACATTGCTAAGAGAAATTTTGCAAATGGTATTAAATACCAATAAGAACATTCTGCCATGATCTGTTTGTGTGGTCTAGTGAGATGCCATATACCAGCTTTCGTCGTAAAAGTTTCTAAAGTTTGGCCAAGAACCAGAATCTCTGCGTTATCATCAGGTAATGCTTGCTCTTCTTCAGTAGCTACTACTATAAAACCCAGTACAGTCTGCAAAAATTGTTGCACAATAACGCCTTTAATAACTTCTGAAATAGAAACCTTATTTTTGGCTTCAATCTCCACTGGACTATGAATTCGATATTTTTCAAAAAAAGGAACTCGGTATATCGAGATTAGATGATACATTCCGGAATATACCCAATAAATAATTATTGGAAGCAGCAGAGAAAGGTGTTTGTCAGAAATAATGGGGATAAGAGGAACATGAGATGTCGTCAATGACGACGATGTACCAAAAAAAGTGTTCTTGTCCATGCTAATTGCAAGAAGTGCGAAACAGATAAAGTTCAAGAAACCAGAACTGTTCCTTTACATTATAAATGAGTAATATATAAAGATATCGGTTATAGACAATTAATAAATTCATTACACAAAAAATTGTTCGAATATTGAACCATTTTCGGAGTTTATTCGTGCAATACTGATTTTGCATTGTAAATTTATTTTTATGAAAAATCTAGAAAAATTATAGCAATAAGCCCATTGTTCTTGACTATTTATAGCAATTAGCATTACGAATAATGAGTCCTCTGACTAGATTCTCTGGCCAATCAACTCTACAACTAATGTCAAATTTATTGCTAAATCAACTGGAATCAACTGGTTCGGGTTTTATTATTAACTCTAAAACCGAAAATTTTTTAACTAAGTTTCTTAAACATAACTTAAAGTGCATTTAGAGTGTTGCCTTTAATTAGCGCACATATTTTACAGTAAGTGTTGTCAATGGACATGTTTGGACGAAGCTTGAACACACTATACTAAAAAGAAATGTTAACTTGAAATTAGGGATGGATCGGTCCCGAGAAGATCGATAAGGACAAGTCCTTTAACCAGTCTCCGGACCGGTCTTCAAAAATAGTTAAATAAAATACGACGTAGGTTAGATGATTTGGTGATCAAGGAATTGATAAATAACCGATATCAACAAAAATCAGGATTTTTGCATATGGTAAGACTTTCTCGTGATTGGTTGACAAACCTATCCACTTTACTAGGTCACCACACTCCTTAAATTTATTTTTTATTTTTTATTTTTTATTCTTTTTTCAGTATTAAAGTGACTTCTTTGGTCCGAGCTTTTTATTAATACTTATATCAAATACATGTTTTATATAGACGTATCTATAATGAACTATTAGACAAGTATACAACTGACTACACATGTAACTTTTCTATATTACCTATTTAAGGAGTC